GCTCTTGCTGTCGTGCCAGGGCCGCTTCTCCTTCATCGACCGGATCGGTTCCTGCCGACACGGGTGAAACACCTGCCCGGGGTTGGTTGGGATGAGCGTATTGAGGGTAACTACAGATGAGAAATTGGGCACTCGAGGGGAGGGGCAAAGTGACCTGTTTCCTCCTCAGTAAGTGCTGCTGCTACCGGAGAGCTACCCCGTTGCTTGCCAAGCAGTGGAATTTTCCTCTGCCGGTGCTTCTCTTAAAACATCCCCGTTTGGTCTTAGTCACCGGTGCCTTTGCTGCATTGCTCTGTGTTTCCCGTGTGCTTGCTGTGGAAAATAGGCAAATGTACAATTCGGCGTTTAACTTAAGCTATGCCCTAGCATGATCGTGCTTAGCAGCTGAACGGTGGTCAGGAGATGGTAGATTAACCGTGTGTGTGCTGCTTGGAACAACCAGGGTGAAGTTGAAAGGTTGTATGGAAGGTGTTACTTAGATTTTGCCTCGGTGTTGTCACCCTCAGAAAGTTCGTTTGTGTGTTAAGACCATTTCAGTGATTTACTTTGTGGTGGAAATCTTGTGTACGTGGAAGCATTAGGTTGTGCAATTAAAAGTACCAGGGCATCAAGGGCATTTGCATAAGCATTTGATGAGCTGTTCGGGGAAATAAGAAATTGTTCAACTGGAGAACAACTGCCTTTCATTAAGCTCAAGCTAGTTTACTCAAACACTCAGTTCCTGATCCATGAAATGGGTGATAGAGACCGAGCTTGCTGTGGGAGTGCTGCAGTCCTGTTTTGGGAAAGGCACTACTGCTGTAGCCCTTTCTGCACCATAAGCAGCACTGCTGAAGGAGTGACTGCACCAAAGCCTTGGATGTTCCTGGTGTGCCCTCATTTAAATAATTCTGTTTTCATAGATCCTTCCTCAGTACACCCGCCTTCTAGATGAGCCCCTTTAGTATAGCAAAATACATTCTCCCTCCCAAGCCAAGTGACTCTTGACATGTCATGGCAAACATAGGAGGAAACATGTTTAGTGAGTTAATTTCCTTTCTGAAAGTGTTAGCTTTCATGCCAGCAGAGCTCTCCTGAGGCCTGTCTTCACTTGAGCGTTTTGCTGACTTCCCTTAGAGCAAAGGAAAAAAAACCCACAACGTATCGAGTGTCATAGTAACTGTTATATTTCTGATAACCAGGCTTCATTCTTCAAATAGGAATTTCTCCTCTTCCAGGAGATTTCTGTTTTGCTGAGAAGTTGGTATCTGAGAAATGCACACTTTTCAAACCATGTATGTATTT